TTCACATATATTAGAACAGCGGAAGTGAACAAGAACATGTCTTTGTTCACCTGCACTGTTTGGAACACACCTGTGAGGTGAAGTAGTTGCCAACACAATTAAAACACCAACCTACCTTCTTGAGATTATCTTAAGATGATTTTGGGGCTTTAGTGTCCCCGCGGCCCGGTCCTCAACCAGGCCTCCATCCCCCAGGAAGCAGCCCGTGACAGCTGACTAACACCCAGGTACCTATTTTACTGCTAGGTAACAGGGGCATAGGGTGAAAGAAACTCTGCCCATTGTTTCTCGCCGGCGCCTGGGATCGAACCTGGGACCACAGGATCACAAGTCCAGCGTGCTGTCCGCTCGGCCGACCGGTTCCCTACCTCCCGACCTTTCGCCTAACTACACACTAATTGTAAATGTATAACATGATTTATATATATATATATATATATATATATATATATATATATATATATATATATATATATATATATATATATATATATATATATATATATATATATATATATATATATATATATATATTGATTTTGCGCAAATCATTTACCTTTTGTAGGGACGGGCACTGAACCACTGATACCATTTGTAACAGAGGGGGAGACTATCAGGGGAAAGCGCCAAGCCATTCCGACTATATAGCACTGGGAAGGTATCAGGATAAAGATTAGGGATGGGACGGGGGAAAGGAATAGTGACCATCCAAAATATACTAATTAAATGAAAATTTAGGCTATTAAAATGATTTTAATAGCCTAAGAAATTGTCTGAGTCAAATAGATTGGAAAATCTTGGGCGTGAGGGTTGGGTCGGTCTTGGAGTGAGACGTGAACCCGCTCTCGCACAAGACAGTACATATATGACTTATTGCTTATATTAATTTTTGGCTTATTAATAAGTAAATATGCGGTATATGCCAGGTTATATTTTCTTTTCAAGGTACAAACTCTTTCTAAAAATTTGCTGATTGATTGATTGATGAAGATTAAGCCACCCAAAAGGTGGCACGGGCATGAATAGCCCGTAAGTGGTGGCCCTTTTGAGCCATTACCAGTATCAAGAGCTGATACTGGAGATCTGTGGAGGTGCGACTGCACCCTGCGTGACGGGAGATGTCTCCCAAAAATTTCCTAAACACCAGTTTTAATAATAGGAATTTCTTTTTCACTTTTATTAAACAGTAGAGATTTTATACAAAATTTGACAATATCCTGAGTTACTTTACAATTTATTGAAATATTTTAGTTTTATATTATTTTTATAAAACTGTAATATCACTATAGGTAGGTATAGGTTAAGTACTAATTGTAATTAAGAAGCAATAAGATGCTTATCTTAACATACTAAGAAGGTTAGGTTAGGTCGGTGTTTTTTATTCAGCTTTTCAAGGTAAACTCAAATATTCATAATAATTTAGTATGACACATATGCACATATTAATAAGCCAAATATTGACTATAAGTAAGTGCGAGAACTGGTTGCAGCGATAGGTGACATTAAAAGGGATTTCGATGTGGATTCAAAATATAACTTATTTAAAAATATTCTAAGCAAAGCCCAAGAATGTAGTATACCATATAAATTGAATAGATCGAATACTAATGACCCAAAGTGGATAACAAAGGACCTGAAGAACCTTATAGGTAGAAAGAGAGCGTAGTACAAAAGGTAGCTAATGTGGTGCCAATATTTAAGAAAGGAGATAGATCACTTGCGTCAAACTATTGGCCAGTTAGCCTAGCATTTATTGTGGGAAAGTTACTTGAATCAACAATTGCAAATTCAATTCGTCTTCATCTTGAAAAACATAAATTAATAAATGATTCACAATATTCATTTTGCCACATGAAAGACCGATTAAAAAAATAGAGGCTCATGGTATTGGGGGTGCTATATTAAGTTGGATTAGGGCATGGCTATACCAAAGGAAACAGAGAGTTAGTATAAATGGGGTTAAATCAGAGTGGGAAAATGTTGTAAGTGGGGTGCCTCAAGGCTCTGTCCGGGACCTCTGTTGTTTATAATATATATAAATGATTTAGATTCTGGTTTGAGTAGCAACATTTTCAAATTTGCCAATGATACAAAAATCGGCAGGAAAATAAACACGGAAGAAGACTCACTGTCACTTCAGGTCGATCTAAATAGGGTTTTGAAATGGTCAAATGATTGGCAGATGCAGTTTAATGCTGATAAATGTAAAGTTCTGAGGCTAGGTAATGATGAAAGAGTTACAAGATACGAGCTAGATGGTGTTGAGATTGCGAAGTCGGATTGCGAAAGGGATCTGGGAGTTATGATTAGTAAGAATTTAAAACCAAAAGATCAATGCCTGAATGTTCATAATAAGGCAAATAGGACACTGGGATTTATTAATCGCAGCGTTAGTAACAAGACACCTGGTGTGGTTCTCAAGCTATATCTTGCTCTGGTTAGGCCCCATTTAGATTATGTAGTTCAGTTTTGGTCGCCATACTATAGAATGGATATAAATTCACTTGAACGTGTCCAACGTAGGATGACAAAGTTAATTCCCCAAATTAGAAACCTGTCATATGAAGAGAGATTAACAAAGCTTAAATTGCATTCACTGGTGTGGGAAAATCCTAGCAGCTTAATTCTTTTTAAATTCTGTAAATACTAAATATTTCTTAATTGACTTTAATATGATAATTTTTTTATCTGATTAATTTTCTTAGTTAGTTCTTAGTAATAAGTTAGTAAATTAAGCACGTAAGTAATTAAGTAAGTAAGTTAGTAGACTGTATGTACTGATTCAGCTGCCTGAATTTATCTCACATAATTGGGGGGACAATTTGCAGCTTAAACCACTTTGAGATGGCTCCTTCATAAACCACAAATTGTTTACCTAATAAATATAAATTATATTCATACCACATATGGTGGTCTAATCTACTATTATTATTATGGCAATAATGAATTAATTTCTAATACTATGTCTACAGTATTGTAAAAAAAGAGGGCTTAGCTGTTCCTGTTGATGGGGCCTGCTAAGGCTGTGTAATTGTAGCATCAAAGTTGGGTGTGGCCCTGTGCCTCTGAGTGCCACGTAATGGCGACTGTCTGGAGGCCTACAAAGCTTGGTGTACAGCTAGGTAATAATATTATATGGAAGGCCAACTGTCTGCTCTGCTGCTTGTAACTCCAAATCACAATTACCTGCAGAGTTTAAAGAATTAATAATGTTTCCCTAAACATATAAGTACAGGTATGACCTGGAATATGAGTGTGTTGAGCTGAGTAAACGTACTTGGTTATGGGGGGTTTCCATGCATTATAACCACCTACCTCTTTATTTATTTATTTATGCATATACAAGAATGTACATAAGTAATGTGAGGATACAAATATGGTAATTACAGTCTTGTAAAGCCACTAGCACGCGCAGCGTTTCGGGCAGTATGAATAACTTATGAATAACTATGGCCACTGTTAAACAAAAATACTTGGTAAGACAGATACTGGTGTTGCTGTGGTTGTTGAGAGGCTGTTGTGCTGGTTGCTCGCTTGTTGACACGTAGTCTGGGTGTCTAACGAGTTAAATCACCTCATATGGAGAGCCACTCTACAGCGTCTCTAGATGTTATTGTCTCAGTGTGTACGACGCTCCCAGGGGGAGACGAACTCAAATATTTGATGGTTCTATTTATGTTTAAGGAATAGAGTATTAAGCTAAGGGATAACTATGTTATTATGTGTGTGTCGGATTTCTGACAACTGGAAAGGCAAGGAGTTAGGTGTAAAATGATAGAGGTTTACAAGTGGATGAATGGACATAACAAAGTGGATATTAATTGGGTATTAATAGTATCAATACAAGACAGAACACGAAACAATGGGTATAAATTGGATAAGTTTAGATTTAGGAAAGACTTGGGTAAATACTGGTTCAGTAACAGGGTTGTTGATTTGTTGAACCAATTACCGCGTAACGTGGTGGAGGTGGGGTCCCTCGATTGTTTCAAGCGCGGGTTGGACAAGTATATGAGTGGGATTGGGTGGTTATAGATAGGAGCTGCCTAGCATGGGCCAATAGGCCTTCTGCAGTTGCCTTTATTCTTATGTTCTTATCCACTTGGACGGTCTAACTGAAGTGGTTGGGGAGGGGGGAGGGGGGGGGAATATAAGAACATTTTATTTAAGAATCAGGTTGATAATTGGAACGGGAACAGCCTGACCTTGGAACGGGAACAGCCTGGCCTTGGAACGGGAACAACCTGGCCTTGGAACGGGAACAGCCTGGCCTTGGAACGGGAACAGCCTGGCCTTGGAACGGGAACAGCCTGGCCTTGGAACGGGAACAACGGGGAATTGGAACGTCAGACAATGTTTACAACAAGAATTAGTAATTAGAACTAGGTATTTAATGAATGGGAAACAAGAAATGAGAGAGAAACGGTAAGAATTCAACACTGGTGATGGAGAGTGTAAGATTTTGGAGTCAAGGGAATTGGATTCCAAAAGGCTGAAACAAGGAATTCAATAAAGGAAGAGAAAATAGAACTAGGGGTTGGATTGAGTTGAAAACAGAAAACTTATAATAATAACAACGCACTATAACAATTATTGGATTAAAATAATTAATACACAAAGATATTTCACACTCTGACCTTCATATATATATATGTCAAGCCAAATATATGTTGGAAACTGGTCAAGGACGGAAATGATTGGGCATCAATCACCACACTTCTCACCCCTCACCCTTCGCCCCAATCCCAATCACAACACAATCTCTCAAAAGAATCAACTGTCTTCAATGTCTCAACATTATATATCTATTTTAATGTTGTTTGAAGATTAAATTACTTAACTTACTCAAACTTCTGTGAGTCAGAAACTTTACTCTTAAATCTTATACAATATATACAAGTAAGATTATAATAATATAAGCAGCATAGTATATCTAAGACCATATATATATAACCTGCGGCTCTTCTCACCCTCTCTCCCCTTCCCCCTGGGTGCCGCAGGCGGGAAGTACACCATACTCCACGACGGGTCCCTGCACATCTACCGGGCGGACCCCAGCGACGGGTACCGGAGCTACCGGTGCCGCGCCAACCACACGCTCACCGGGGACATCAGCGAGTCCTCCGCCGGCCGGGTCATCATCTCCGGTACGTGTCTATACCTCCCGGTTCACCGGGGGAGCCTGTTGGGGGTTATCTTAGTACCGGGGAGGTGTGTAGCCGGCTCCTGTGTTCCCTGGAGGTGTTTGTGTGATGGTAAGACCAGTAGACAGTACGGTACAGGGAGGACCAGTAGACAGTACGGTACAGGGAAGACCAGTAGACAGTACGGTACAGGGAAGACCAGTAGACAGTACGGTACAGGGAAGACCAGTAGACAGTACGGTACAGGGAAGACCAGTAGACAGTACGGTACAGGGAAGACCAGTAGACAGTACGGTACAGGGAGGACCAGTAGACAGTACGGTACAGGGAAGACCAGTAGACAGTACGGTACAGGGAGGACCAGTAGACAGTACGGTACAGGGAGGACCAGTAGACAGTACGGTACAGGGAGGACCAGTAGACAGTACGGTACAGGGAAGACCAGTAGACAGTACGGTACAGGGAGGACCAGTAGACAGTACGGTACAGGGAAGACCAGTAGACAGTACGGTACAGGGAAGACCAGTAGACAGTACGGTACAGGGAAGACCAGTAGACAGTACGGTACAGGGAAGACCAGTAGACAGTACGGTACAGGGAAGACCAGTAGACAGTACGGTACAGGGAGGACCAGTAGACAGTACGGTACAGGGAAGACCAGTAGACAGTACGGTACAGGGAAGACCAGTAGACAGTACGGTACAGGGAAGTACAGCTCCTTCCTGTAACGAAAAAAACAACACCGTTCTGTTGTATTCCATGCAGGGTGGTGGCGTGTTGTATCACATGGTGTCAGATTGTATCGCTGTTGTAGTGCTGTATCACTAGAGGGGGGCGGGGAGGGGGCTGTAAGATAAGGTTAGTTATAGACTCAGTGTCAGAGCTGTTAATTTGGCCCTTGTTTGGCAGTGTCGTTAAGGCTTGATTGGGCGGGGTCACGGTGCTAATTACTCTGACCTTTGGTTAATTGGCCCTTAGCTCCCCCCCCCCCCACCTGCTACACACGGGCTAGTGTTGTTGTTGTTGTTGTATTCTCGATTTAAAAAATACACCAACTTTTTTTTTTGGTCTTGTGATTCTGTATGTGTTGCTGTAATTGTTTGTAACTGTTTATTGCTTGTATTGTGAGCTGTAACGAGGCTGTTGGGTGTGTGTGAGGGGTAGTTAAGCTCCGTAGTTAACTCTTATAGATGACTTATTGTATCGTAGATTGTTCTCTGTATTGTGGATTGTTCTCAGTATTGTGGATTGTTCTCTGTATTGTGGATTGTTCTCTGTATTGTGGATTGTTCTCTGTATTGTGGATTGTTCTCAGTATTGTGGATTGTTCTCAGTATTGTGGATTGTTCTCAGTATTGTGGATTGTTCTCAGTATTGTGGATTGTTCTCAGTATTGTGGATTGTTCTCAGTATTGTGGATTGTTCTCAGTATTGTGGATTGTTCTCAGTATTGTGGATTGTTCTCAGTAGTATCTGTATTGTGGATTGTTCTCAGTATTGTGGATTGTTCTCAGTATTGTGGATTGTTCTCAGTATTGTGGATTGTTCTCTGTATTGTGGATTGTTCTCAGTATTGTGGATTGTTCTCAGTATTGTGGATTGTTCTCAGTATTGTGGATTGTTCTCTGTATTGTGGATTGTTCTCTGTATTGTGGATTGTTCTCAGTATTGTGGATTGTTCTCTGTATTGTGGATTTTTTCTGGTGTTCTGTTTTTGATTGTGTTTAATGTGGTTGTTTAGCTTAAGGAGGCGGTGTAGAGGGATGTAGAGGCCCGCCCCGCTCATCACAAGGCCGGAGTTCGAACCCCTGCGTAAATGTGAGACGACTGGGTAAATATATAATTAAGCTACGACTGGTTGCACACCTGGAGAACATTAGGTTTGTGAACAAACATGAACATGGGTTCTGGAAAGGGAAATCGTGCCTAACAAACCTTCTGGAATTCTATGATAAAATAACGAGGATAAGACAGGACAGAGATGGTTGGGCAGACTGCATATTTCTGGACTGCCAAAAAGCCTTTGATACAGTACCGCACATGAGACTGCTGTTCACAGGCGCACAGACACACACACACACACACACACACATATACACACACACACAACCCCCCCCCCCACACACACAACCCCCCCTCCCCCCCCCCCCCCACACACACACACACACACGCACACACACACACACACACACGCGCACACACACACACACACACACACACACACACACACACACACACACACACACACACACACGCACACACACACACACACACACACACACACACACACACACACACACACACACACACACACACACACACACACACACACACACACACACACACACACACACACACACACACACACACACACACACACACACACACACACACACACACACACACACACACACACACACACACACACACACACACACACACACACACACACACACACACACACACACACACACACACACACACACACACACACACACACACACACACACACACACACACACACACACACACACACACACACAATAAACCCCCCGAGAGACACAAACACACAAACAAACAAAACGAATTGAAATGCCAACTTTTCCCTTGACCCTCAGAATAAAACACCTGCATAACTGATATTGATAATGTGTTCAGGTGTTTTATGGGGTACATACCGTGTTTGACGGCGGTAATTGCAATCTAATTGAAAACACCTTTTTTTTTGCCATATCTTAAGTTAAGAGTTTTTATTAATTTTTGAGGCAAGAAGTGAATATCAGAGCGAGTTATTACTTACCTTCTTGTAAGAAAGTCATTATATATTCAGTTTGTAATATTACGTCAATTTATACATAATAATTAGATAATTATATAATTGAATGTGACAGGGGTATTTGCTGTATTTTTATTTGTTTATTTTGTTGTATTGAATACAGGATTTGGTGTGTATTACTGTCTATGATTGTTGTTAAGTCTGCTGATTGTGGTGCAATATGGATTGTTATTGTTGTATTGTGGTGATTGTGGGGGTGGGCTTCATCTACGAGATTCTTTCCCCGTACAGAGCCCTCCACCTGCCCCCCCCTGGGAGCCAGCACCCACTAACACCTGCCCCTGGGAGCCAGCACCCACTAACACCTGCCCCTGGGAGCCAGCACCCACTAACACCTGCCCCTGGGAGCCAGCACCCACTAACACCTGCCCCTGGGAGCCAGCACCCACTAACACCTGCCCCTGGGAGCCAGCACCCACTAACACCTGCCCTCCCTGGGAGCCAGCACCCACTAACACTTGCCCCCCTGGGAGCCAGCACCCACTAACACTTGCCCCCCCTGGGAGCCAGCACCCACTAACACCTGCCCCCCCTGGGAGCCAGCACCCACTAACACCTGCCCTCCCTGGGAGCCAGCACCCACTAACACCTGCCCCCCTGGGAGCCAGCACCCACTAACACTTGCCCCCCTGGGAGCCAGCACCCACTAACACCTGCCCCCCCTGGGAGCCAGCACCCACTAACACCTGCCCCCCCTGGGAGCCAGCACCCACTAACACCTGCCCCCCCTGGGAGCCAGCACCCACTAACACCTGCCCCCCTGGGAGCCAGCACCCACTAACACCTGCCCGCCCTGGGAGCCAGCATTCACTAACACCTGCCCCCCTGGGAGCCAGCATTCACTAACACCTGCCCCCCTGGGAGCCAGCATTCACTAACACCTGCCCCCCTGGGAGCCAGCACCCACTAACACCTGCCCCCCCTGGGAGCCAGCACCCACTAACACTTGCCCCCCTGGGAGCCAGCACCCACTAACACCTGCCCCCCCTGGGAGCCAGCACCCACTAACACCTGCCCCCCCTGGGAGCCAGCACCCACTAACACCTGCCCCCCCTGGGAGCCAGCACCCACTAACACCTGCCCCCCTGGGAGCCAGCACCCACTAACACCTGCCCGCCCTGAGAGCCAGCATTCACTAACACCTGCCCCCCTGGGAGCCAGCATTCACTAACACCTGCCCCCCTGGGAGCCAGCATTCACTAACACCTGCCCCCCTGGGAGCCAGCACCCACTAACACCTGCCCCCCCTGGGAGCCAGCACCCACTAACACCTGCCCCCCCTGGGAGCCAGCACCCACTAACACTTGCCCCCCTGGGAGCCAGCATACACTAACACCTGCCCCCTGGGAGCCAGCATTCACTAACACCTGCCCCCCTGGGAGCCAGCATTCACTAACACCTGCCCCCCTGGGAGCCAGCATTCACTAACACCTGCCCCCCTGGGAGCCAGCACCCACTAACACCTGCCCCCCCTGGGAGCCAGCACCCACTAACACCTGCCCCCCCTGGGAGCCAGCACCCACTAACACCTGCCCCCCCTGGGCGCCAGCACCCACTAACACCTGCCCCCCCCCTGGGAGCCAGCACCCACTAACACCTGCCCCCCTGGGAGCCAGCATTCACTAACACCTTCCCCCCCTGGGAGCCAGCACCCACTAACACCTGCCCCCCTGGGAGCCAGCACCCACTAACACCTGCCCCCCTGGGAGCCAGCATTCACTAACACCTGCCCCCCTGGGAGCCAGCATTCACTAACACCTGCCCCCCCTGGGAGCCAGCATTCACTAACACTTGCCCCCCTGGGAGCCAGCATTCACTAACACTTGCCCCCCCCCCCTGGGAGCCAGCACCCACTAACACCTGCCCCCCTGGGAGCCAGCACCCACTAACACTTGCCCTCCCTGGGAGCCAGCATTCACTAACACTTGCCCCCCCTGGGAGCCAGCCCCCACTACCTCCTGCCCCGCTGGGAGCCAGCACCCACTAACACCTGCCCCCCTTGGGAGCCAGCATTCACTAACACCTGCCCCCCTGGGAGCCAGCATTCACTAACACCTGCCCCCCCTGGGAGCCAGCATTCACTAACACTTGCCCCCCCCCTGGGAGCCAGCACCCACTAACACCTGCCCCCCTGGGAGCCAGCATTCACTAACACTTGCCCCCCTGGGAGCCAGCACCCACTAACACCTGCCCCCCCTGGGAGCCAGCATTCACTAACACTTGCCCCCCCTGGGAGCCAGCACCCACTAACACCTGCCCCCCCTGGGAGCCAGCATTCACTAACACTTGCCCTCCTGGGAGCCAGCACCCACTAACACTTGCCCCCCTGGGAGCCAGCACCCACTCCCACCTGCCCCCCTGGAAGCCAGCATTCACTAACACTTGCCCCCCTGGGAGCCAGCATTCACTAACACCTGCCCCCCTGGGAGCCAGCACCCACTAACACCTGCCCCCCTGGGAGCCAGCACCCAGTAACACCTGCCCCCCCTGGGAGCCAGCATTCACTAACACTTGCCCCCCCTGGGAGCCAGCACCCACTAACACCTGCCCCCCTGGGAGCCAGCATTCACTAACACTTGCCCTCCTGGGAGCCAGCATTCACTAACACTTGCCCCCCTGGGAGCCAGCACCCACTAACACCTGCCCTCCCTGGGAGCCAGCACCCACTAACACCTGCCCCCCCTGGGAGCCAGCATTCACTAACACTTGCCCCCCCTGGGAGCCAGCATTCACTAACACTTGCCCCCCCTGGGAGCCAGCATTCACTAACACTTGCCCCCCCCTGGGAGCCAGCATTCACTAACACTTGCCCCCCTGGGAGCCAGCACCCACTAACACCTGCCCCCCTGGGAGCCAGCATTCACTAACACTTGCCCCCCCCTGGGAGCCAGCATTCACTAACACTTGCCCCCCCCTGGGAGCCAGCATTCACTAACACTTGCCCCCCTGGGAGCCAGCACCCACTAACACCTGCCCCCCTGGGAGCCAGCATTCACTAACACCTGCCCCCCCTGGGAGCCAGCATTCACTAACACTTGCCCCCCTGGGAGCCAGCATTCACTAACACTTGCCCCCCTGGGAGCCAGCATTCACTAACACCTGCCCCCCTGGGAGCCAGCATTCACTAACACTTGCCCCCCTGGGAGCCAGCATTCACTAACACTTGCCCCCCTGGGAGCCAGCATTCACTAACACTTGCCCCCCTGGGAGCCAGCATTCACTAACACCTGCCCCCCTAGGAGCCAGCATTCACTAACACTTGCCCCCCTGGGAGCCAGCATTCACTAACACTTGCCCCCCCCCCTGGGAGCCAGCACCCACTAACACCTGCCCCCCTGGGAGCCAGCACCCACTAACACTTGCCCTCCCTGGGAGCCAGCATTCACTAACACTTGCCCCCCCTGGGAGCCAGCACCCACTAACACCTGCCCCCCTGGGAGCCAGCACCCACTAACACCTGCCCCCCTTGGGAGCCAGCATTCACTAACACCTGCCCCCCTGGGAGCCAGCATTCACTAACACCTGCCCCCCCTGGGAGCCAGCATTCACTAACACTTGCCCCCCCCTGGGAGCCAGCACCCACTAACACCTGCCCCCCTGGGAGCCAGCATTCACTAACACTTGCCCCCCTGGGAGCCAGCACCCACTAACACCTGCCCCCCCTGGGAGCCAGCATTCACTAACACTTGCCCCCCCTGGGAGCCAGCACCCACTAACACCTGCCCCCCCTGGGAGCCAGCATTCACTAACACTTGCCCTCCTGGGAGCCAGCACCCACTAACACTTGCCCCCCTGGGAGCCAGCACCCACTAACACCTGCCCCCCTGGAAGCCAGCATTCACTAACACTTGCCCCCCTGGGAGCCAGCATTCACTAACACTTGCCCCCCTGGGAGCCAGCATTCACTAACACCTGCCCCCCTGGGAGCCAGCACCCACTAACACCTGCCCCCCTGGGAGCCAGCACCCAGTAACACCTGCCCCCCCTGGGAGCCAGCATTCACTAACACTTGCCCCCCCTGGGAGCCAGCACCCACTAACACCTGCCCCCCCTGGGAGCCAGCATTCACTAACACTTGCCCTCCTGGGAGCCAGCATTCACTAACACTTGCCCCCCTGGGAGCCAGCACCCACTAACACCTGCCCCCCTGGGAGCCAGCACCCACTAACACCTGCCCCCCCTGGGAGCCAGCATTCACTAACACTTGCCCCCCCTGGGAGCCAGCATTCACTAACACTTGCCCCCCCTGGGAGCCAGCATTCACTAACACTTGCCCCCCCTGGGAGCCAGCATTCACTAACACTTGCCCCCCTGGGAGCCAGCACCCACTAACACCTGCCCCCCTGGGAGCCAGCATTCACTAACACTTGCCCCCCCCTGGGAGCCAGCATTCACTAACACTTGCCCCCCCCTGGGAGCCAGCATTCACTAACACTTGCCCCCCTGGGAGCCAGCACCCACTAACACCTGCCCCCCTGGGAGCCAGCATTCACTAACACCTGCCCCCCCTGGGAGCCAGCATTCACTAACACTTGCCCCCCTGGGAGCCAGCATTCACTAACACTTGCCCCCCTGGGAGCCAGCATTCACTAACACCTGCCCCCCTGGGAGCCAGCATTCACTAACACTTGCCCCCCTGGGAGCCAGCATTCACTAACACTTGCCCCCCTGGGAGCCAGCATTCACTAACACTTGCCCCCCTGGGAGCCAGCATTCACTAACACCTGCCCCCCCTAGGAGCCAGCATTCACTAACACCTGCCCCCCTGGGAGCCAGCATTCACTAACACTTGCCCCCCTGGGAGCCAGCATTCACTAACACTTGCCCCCCTGGGAGCCAGCATTCACTAACACCTGCCCCCCTGGGAGCCAGCATTCACTAACACCTGCCCCCCTGGGAGCCAGCATTCACTAACACTTGCCCCCCTGGGAGCCAGCATTCACTAACACTTGCCCCCCCTGGGAGCCAGCATTCACTAACACTTGCCCCCCTGGGAGCCAGCATTCACTAACACTTGCCCCCCCTGGGAGCCAGCATTCACTAACACCTGCCCCCCTAGGAGCCAGCATTCACTAACACCTGCCCCCCTGGGAGCCAGCATTCACTAACACTTGCCCCCCTGGGAGCCAGCATTCACTAACACTTGCCCCCCTGGGAGCCAGCATTCACTAACAATTGCCCCCCCTGGGAGCCAGCATTCACTAACACCTGCCCCCCTGGGAGCCAGCATTCACTAACACTTGCCCCCCTGGGAGCCAGCACCCACTAACACCTGCCCCCCCCTGGAAGCCAGCACCCACTAACACCTGCCCCCCCCTGGGAGCCAGCCCCTACTAACACCTGCCCCCCCCCCTGGGAGCCAGCCCCTACTAACACCTGCCCCCCCCCTGGGAGCCAGCACCCACTAACACCTGCCCCCCCCCCTGGGAGCCAGCCCCTACTAACACCTGCCCCCCCTGGGAGCCAGCACCCACTAACACCTGCCCCCCCTTGGGAGCCAGCACCCACTAACACCTGCCCCCCCCCTGGGAGCCAGCCCCTACTAACACCTGCCCCCCCCCCTGGGAGCCAACACCCACTAACACCTGCCCCCCTGGGAGCCAGCATTCACTAACACTTGCCCCCCCTGGGAGCCAGCATTCACTAACACTTGCCCCCCCCTGGGAGCCAGCATTCACTAACACTTGCCCCCCTGGGAGCCAGCACCCACTAACACCTGCCCCCCTGGGAGCCAGCATTCACTAACACCTGCCCCCCCTGGGAGCCAGCATTCACTAACACTTGCCCCCCTGGGAGCCAGCATTCACTAACACTTGCCCCCCTGGGAGCCAGCATTCACTAACACCTGCCCCCCTGGGAGCCAGCATTCACTAACACTTGCCCCCCTGGGAGCCAGCATTCACTAACACTTGCCCCCCCTGGGAGCCAGCATTCACTAACACTTGCCCCCCTGGGAGCCAGCATTCACTAACACTTGCCCCCCTGGGAGCCAGCATTCACTAACACCTGCCCCCCTAGGAGCCAGCATTCACTAACACCTGCCCCCCTAGGAGCCAGCATTCACTAACACCTGCCCCCCTGGGAGCCAGCATTCACTAACACTTGCCCCCCTGGGAGCCAGCATTCACTAACACATGCCCCCCCTGGGAGCCAGCATTCACTAACACTTGCCCCCCTGGGAGCCAGCATTCACTAACACTTGCCCCCCCTGGGAGCCAGCATTCACTAACACCTGCCCCCCTAGGAGCCAGCATTCACTAACACCTGCCCCCCTGGGAGCCAGCATTCACTAACACTTGCCCCCCCTGGGAGCCAGCATTCACTAACACTTGCCCCCCCTGGGAGCCAGCATTCACTAACAATTGCCCCCCCTGGGAGCCAGCATTCACTAACACCTGCCCCCTGGGAGCCAGCATTCACTAACACTTGCCCCCCTGGGAGCCAGCACCCACTAACACCTGCCCCCCCCCTGGAAGCCAGCACCCACTAACACCTGCCCCCCCCCTGGGAGCCAGCCCCTACTAACACCTGCCCCCCCCCCTGGGAGCCAGCCCCTACTAACACCTGCCCCCCCCTGGGAGCCAGCACCCACTAACACCTGCCCCCCCCTGGGAGCCAGCCCCTACTAACACCTGCCCCCCCCTGGGAGCCAGCACCCACTAACACCTGCCCCCCCTTGGGAGCCAGCACCCACTAACACCTGCCCCCCCCCCTGGGAGCCAGCCCCTACTAACACCTGCCCCCCCCCCCCCCCCCTGGGAGCCAACACCCACTAACAAAGGTTCTCCCCCGTACAGAGCCCCATGCGAACGTGGCCCCTAGACTGAGCGTGGACAAGAGGGTGACGGTGACGGTGAGGGCGGGGGAGTGGGCGGTGTTGCCCTGCGCCGCCCAGAGCCACCCCACGCCCACCTACAGGTCAGTGCCACGCCCACACCCGCCCACTCATACACTCATCTCTTACACCTCAGTTCATATTTTTCAATGTTGGCACTTATAACACTATAGTCACCACTAACAACACTATAGTCACCACTAACAACACTATAGTCACCACTAACAACACTATAGTCACCACTAACAACACTATAGTCACCACTAACAACACTATAGTCACCACTAACAACACTACTGTCACCACTAACAACACTATAGTCACCACTAACAACACTACTGTCACCACTAACAACACTATAGTCACCACTAACAACACTATAGTCACCACTTACAACACTATAGTCACCACTAACAAAACTACTGTCACCACTAACAACACTATAGTCACCACTAACAACACTATAGTCACCACTAACAACGCTATAGTCACCACTAACAAAACTACTGTCACCACTAACAACACTATAGTCACCACTAACAACACTATAGTCACCACTAACAACACTATAGTCACATCTAACAACACTATAGTCACCACTAACAACACTATAGTCACCACTAACAACACTATAGTCACCACTAACAACACTATAGTCACCACTAACAACACTACTGTCACCACTAACAACACTATAGTCACCACTAACAACACTACTGTCACCACTAACAACACTATAGTCACCACTAACAACACTACTGTCACCACTAACAACACTATAGTCACCACTAACAACACTACTGTCACCACTAACAACACTATAGTCACCACTAACAACACTACTGTCACCACTAACAACACTACTGTCACCACTAACAACACTATAGTCACCACTAACAACACTACTGTCACCACTAACAACACTACTGTCACCACTAACAACACTATAGTCACCACTAACAACACTACTGTCACCACTAACGACACTACTGTCACCACTAACAACACTATAGTCACCACTAACAACACTACTGTCACCACTAACAACACTACTGTCACCACTAACAACACTATAGTCACATCTAACAACACTACTGTCACCACTAACAACACTATAGTCACCACTAACAACACTATAGTCACCACTAACAACACTATAGTCACCACTAACAACACTACTGTCACCACTAACAACATTACTGTCACCACTAACAACACTATAGTCACCACTAACAACACTACTGTCACCACTAACAACACTACTGTCACCACTAACAACACAACTGTCATCACTAACAACACTACTGTCACCACTAACAACACTATAGTCACCACTAACAACACTATAGTCACCACTAACAACATTACTGTCACCACTAACAACACTACTGTCACCACTAACAACATTACTGTCACCACTAACAACACTATAGTCACCACTAACAACACTACTGTCACCACTAACAACACTATAGTCACCACTAACAACACTACTGTCACCACTAACAACACTACTGTCACCACTAACAACACTATAGTCACCACTAACAACACTATAGTCACCACTAACAACATTACTGTCACCACTAACAACACTACTGTCACCACTAACAACATTACTGTCACCACTAACAACACTATAGTCACCACTAACAACACTACTGTCACCACTAACAACACTATAGTCACCACTAACAACACTATAGTCACCACTAACAACACTATAGTCACCACTAACAACACTATAGTCACCACTAACAACACTACTGTCACCACTAACAACACTATAGTCACCACTAACAACACTATAGTCACCACTAACAACACTATAGTCACCACTAACAACACTATAGTCACCACTAACAACACTACTGTCACCACTAACAACACTATAGTCACCACTAACAACACTATAGTCACCACTAACAACACTATAGTCACCACTAACAACACTATAGTCACCACTAACAACACTATAGTCACCACTATAGTCACCACTAACAGCACTATAGTCACCACTAACAACACTATAGTCACCACTAACAACACTATAGTCACCACTAACAACACTATAGTCACCACTAACAACACTATAGTCACCACTAACACTACTGTCACTACTAACTCATCACCCAGCTGTTCATAACTCATCACCCAGCTGTCCATAACTCATCACCCAGCTGTCCATAACTCATCACCCAGCTGTCCATAACTCATCACCCAGCTGTCCATAACTCATCACCCAGCTGCCCATAACTCATCACCCAGCTGTCCATAACTCATCACCCAGCTGGTCATATGTCCATCCTCATCAAGCTGGTCATATTTACTCATCACCCAGCTGTCCATAACTCATCACCCAGCTGTCCATAACTCATCACCCAGCTGTCCATAACTCATCACCCAGCTGTCCATAACTCATCACCCAGCTGTCCATAACTCATCACCCAGCTGTCCATAACTCATCACCCAGCTGTCCATAACTCATCACCCAGCTGTCCATAACTCATCACCCAGCTGTCCATAACTCATCACCCAGCTGTCCATAACTCATCACCCAGCTGTCCATAACTCATCACCCAGCTGGTCATATTTCCTCATCACCCAGCTGTCCATAAATCATCACCCAGCTGTCCATAACTCATCACCCAGCTGTCCATAACTCATCACCCAGCTGGTCATATTTCCTCATCACCCAGCTGGCCATAAATCATCACCCAGCTGGTCATATTCCTCATCACCCAGCTGGCCATAACTCATCACCCAGCTGTCCATAACTCATAACCCAGTTGGCCATAACTCATCACCCAGCTGTCCATAACTCATAACCCAGCTGGCCATAACTCATCACCCAGCTGTCCATAACTCATCACCCAGCTGTCCATAACTCATAACTCTCTCCCCCCCCCCCGGTGTGTGGTACAGGTGGGTGCGGCTTGGTGAGGGCGTGGTGGCGGATGTGGTGGGCGGGTCCTCACGGTACAGCCTGGTGGGCGGCCTCCTGGTGATGACGGGCGTGGGCGTGGCCGACCAGGGCCGCTACATGTGCTTCGTCAACAACAGTGTCGGCCAGGAGACTGTCGAGGCTACCCTCCGTGTCACTGGTGAGTGGTGACGGTGACTTGTGAGTGGTGACGGGTCCTGGTGAGTGGTGACGGTGGCTGGTGACGGTGACTGGTGAGTGGTGACGGTGACTGGTGAGTGGTGACGGTGACTGGTGAGTGGTGACGGTCACTGGTGAGTGGTGACGGGTTCTGGTGAGTGGAGACTGTCACTGGTGAGTGGTGACGGGTCACTGGTGAGTGGTGACGGTCACTGGTGAGTGGTGACGGGTCCTGGTGAGTGGTGACGGTCACTGGTGAGTGGTGACGGTCACTGGTGAGTGGTGACGGTCACTGGTGAGTGGTGACGGTCACTGGTGAGTGGTGACGGACGGGTCCATTGGTGAGTGGTGACGGTCACTGAGTGGTGACGGTCACTGGTGAGTGGTGACGGGTCCTGGCGAGTGGTGACGGTCACTGGTGAGTGGTGACGGTCACTGGTGAGTGGTGACGGTCACTGGTGAGTGGTGACGGGTCACTGGTGAGTGGTGACGGGTCCTGGTGAGTGGTGACGGTCACTGGTGAGTGGTGACGGTCACTGGTGAGTGGTGACGGTCTGGTGAGTGGTGACTGGTGAGTGGTGACGGGTCACTGGTGAGTGGTGACGGGTCACCTGGTGAGTGGTGACGGTCACTGGTGAGTGGTGACGGTCACTGGTGAGTGGTGACGGGTCCTGGTGAGTGGTGACGGGTCCTGGTGAGTGGTGACGGTCACTGGTGAGTGGTGACGGTCACTGGTGAGTGGTGACGGGTCCTGGTGAGTGGTGACGGGTCACTGGTGAGTGGTGACGGGTCACTGGTGAGTGGTGACGGGTCACTGGTGAGTGGTGACGGGTCACTGGTGAGTGGTGACGGGTCACTGGTGAGTGGTGACGGGTCCTGGTGAGTGGTGACGGGTCCTGGTGAGTGGTGACGGTCACTGGTGAGTGGTGACGGTCACTGGTGAGTGGTGACGGGTCCTGGTGAGTGGTGACGGTCACTGGTGAGTGGTGACGGGTCACTGGTGAGTGGTGACGGGTCACTGGTGAGTGGTGGTGACGGTCACTGGTGAGTGGTGACGGGTCACTGGTGAGTGGTGACGGGTCACTGGTGAGTGGTGACGGGTCACTGGTGAGTGGTGACGGGTCACTGGTGAGTGGTGACGGGTCACTGGTGAGTGGTGACGGGTCCTGAGTGGTGACGGGTCCTGGTGAGTGGTGACGGTCACTGGTGAGTAGTGACGTTGCTGGTCTCATTTGTGTATGCGTATGCGTATGTGCGCGCTCACACATATGCGTGTGAGTGTTGAGTGCGCCGTACTAGCAGTAGTAAGCGTGTGTGCGTGTGGGGGTGAGCGTCCTGGACCACTTACCTGTGTGTGTTGGCAGCCCGCACGCTCATATTACCTCAGGTGCCCCCTCTCATTACCACACACCTGCCCTCTACTTACACTTCATACTTGACTCCTTAAAGTGTCAAGAGTAAGTGCACTTACAAGTGCATCATCTTCCCTCACGCATGCTTTATCATACTTTACCATCCTTCACTTTTTGTAAGTTTAGAATAAAATGTGCTCGTTAAAATAGACTTCATTGTAATTGAACTAATACTAAAGCAAATTTAACAGGATAAACAGGATATATATATATATATATATATATATATATATATATATATATATATATATATATATATATATATATATATATAAACATAATATGCGTGGTTTCCTCCGATATGGGTCCCCCTTCTTATAGATATATATATATATATATATATATATATATATATATATATATATATATATATATATATATATATATATATATATATATATATATATACACACACACACACACACGAAAACGTGTATCGCAGAGGAGCCTAAGTCACGGAGATGAAACAGGGAGAGAGATCAAAGCCCGGGTGGAATTTATATCTTAAAATTTCTCAAACATTCGCCTAAGGCCGGGGTGGCAAACCTATGGCACACGTGCCCAGTGTGGCATGGGAGCAAATTTGTCTGACACGCAGTGTGGTGCTCATGGAGTCATTAAACCTCACCTATTATAAATAATGGAATATATAAAGATCATATATATTTTCTGTTTAACCTGTTGCAGGAGTACCTGTGTGCAACATTGAAACTTCTCTTTATTTTTTGTCCTGGTCATTAAAGAAACTGGGAAATTCATGAAGTGTGCAGTGTAAGGTGGACTGATTTGGATCATTTATAGGCGATTTATTTACGAAAAAGCTCAATTTAAGAGACTAAAATGTGTCGACGTAAGAGGAGAACTAAAAAACAGTGGATGAGTTAGGTTAGTGAGTGGATTAACTCAGGATTTTTTTCCAGAAATTGAGGCTTTGAAATCGGAATTCCATTCCTGAAACTTTTATGTCTGAAAAGTCTTGGTAATGAGAGTATTAACAGCGTTTTCATCGAGATGTTCCAGCCAGTCATTGTTTTAACTGAGGAACTTTGTCAAGTCTTAATTATTGGTGGAGACTTTATGGTGAAACTGGTGGAGCACCACAACCACAGCTCACAACAACCACAGTTCTCACAACCAACCACAGTTCTCACAACCAACCACAGTTCTCACAACCAACCACAACTCTCACAACAACCACAACTCTCACAACCAACCACAACTCTCACAACCAACCACAACTCTCACAACTCTCACAACAACCACAACTCTCACAACCAACCACAACTCTCACAACAACCACAACTCTCACAACCAACCACAACTCTCACAACCAACCACAACTCTCACAACCAACCACAACTCTCACAACCAACCACAACTCTCACAACCAACCACAACTCTCACAACAACCACAACTCTCACAACCAACCACAACTCTCACAACCAACCACAACTCTCACAACCAACCACAACTCTCACAACCAACCACAACTCTCACAACCAACCACAACTCTCACAACCAACCACAACTCTCACAACCACAGTTCTCACAACCAACCACAACTCTCACAACAACCACAACTCTCACAACAACCACAACTCTAACAACCACAACTCTAACAACCACAACTCTCACAACCAACCACAACTCACAACCAACCACAACTCTCACAACCAACCACAACTCACAACCAACCACAACTCTCACAACAACCACAACTCACAACCAACCACAACTCTCACAACCACAGTTCTCACAACCAACCACAACTCTCACAACAACCACAACTCTCACAACAACCACAACTCTCACAACCAACCACAACTCACAACAACCACAACTCTCACAACCAACCACAACTCTCACAACCAACCACAACTCTCACAGCCAACCACAACTCTCACAACCACAACTCTCACAACCACAATTCTCACAACCAACCACAACTCTCACAACCACAACTCTCACAACAACCACAACTCACAGCCAACCACAACTCTCACAACAACCACAACTCTCACAACAACCAGTTCTCACAACCACAGCTCTCACAACCACAACTCTCACAACCAACCACAACTCTCACAACAACCACATCTCACACAACCAACCACAACTCTCACAACAACCACAACTCACAGCCAACCACAACTCTCACAACAACCACAACTCTCACAACAACCAGTTCTCACAACCACAGCTCTCACAACCACAAGTCTCACAACAACCACAACTCTCACAACCAACCACAACTCTCACAACAACCACAACTCTCACAACCACAACTCTCACAACCACAACTCACACAACAACCACAACTCTCACAACAACCACAACTCTCACAACAACCACAACTCACAGCAACCACAACTCTCACAACAACCACAACTCTCACAACCAACCACAACTCTCACAACAACCACAACTCTCACAACCAACCACAACTCTCACAACCAACCACAACTCACAACAACCACAACTCACACAACAACCACAACTCTCACAACAACCACAGCTCTCACAACCACAACTCTCACAACCAACCACAACTCTCACAACCACAACTCTCACAACCAACCACAACTCTCACAACAACCACAACTCTCACAACAACCACAACTCTCACAACCAACCACAACTCTCACATCCAACCACAACTCTCACAGCCACAACTCTCACAACAACCACAACTCTCACAACAACCACAACTCCACAACAACCACAACTCTCACAACCAACCACAACTCCACAACAACCACAACTCACAACCAACCACAACTCACAACAACCACAACTCACAACAACCACATCTTTCACAACAACAACCAACCACAAGCCTGGTGCAGAATGTCTCACTAATGATAAAAAAGATCATCTGTTATATATTGTTACGGCCCTCTCGGGTCGCAACTGAGTTCGTACTCTGATGTCGTTAGAGGAAGTTGTATCCGGCCCCAAGCCAGTAGTGGCTTTCAAGGGATGAGATCCGTGACGCAAGTAAAATAAAAGGGGAAGGGAAATAAAGTTAAGAACTTAAGATTATAATTGTTCCCGTCACCAATAAATAATATAAGATTACACAGGGGAGGGGTATTAACACTGCACAAGGGAATTATTTATACAATTGTCTTCTCCTGAAGACTCTGGATCCAAACTCTCGGTGCCAAGTCCTCGGTGCTTTCGTGGTCTCTTGACGAATCCTTCGACCAAGCTGAGTCTACCCCAAACACAGGCCAGCCAAAACACAGTTCCACTGGGGGCACCGCCGTGGAGGCCGTCAACCACAAGTCCAGCAGGTCTGCTGGCAGGTTTCGGATCAGCGACGCTGGTCAGGCCACTCCACGAGCGATACTAGGGTAGCGCCCTAGTCAGGAGCCTCGTGTGATACCACAAATCACTCTCCTGTCCACAATACCCCAGTGGATAATCGTCTCCAGCAGTCGGTCCCGGGTAAGACAATCCTTCTACTGCCACTCCACTGGCAGGGTAACACCACAGTGTTCTTCCGGGAGGCGACTCACAGCTGCTACAGCAAAGCACAAGGTATGGGGACGGCTGCCTTGGGTAGACTGACTCAACTTCCATCACAGCAGTCCCAGGTCGACTCTGTAAGCAGACACGTCATCAATAACTGGGACACACTAGCACCTCACTTACAGGCTCAGGCACAAATGCCCGACGTATCCACTCCATAGATGGCGCTGTCGTCTGAGCACCACCTCACCAGAGGTCAGCAGCGGCACCGGATTGAAGATGGCATGTCAAACGCCTCGTCAGCTTGGTCGACGTCATACTATGTACTTAGATTGAAGGTTACATCCTTCGTGGGGGCAAGTGTACATGTATACAACGCTTGACTGCTGTAGAGGGTTCTCCGTCGGCTTCGGGCTGTTTTTGATAAGGAGTTCGGAAGTCTTCTTGGTTTTGTAGAACATGATCAGGTAATATAATTTTATTGGAGGTATTGTGGTTTCTGTTCTAGGTGAACCTAGAACACGAACATGAACCTAGAACATGATCAGGCCTATTTTTTGGTTAGGAATAATGCTTTTTACTCCTTTACGGATTATTTCTTTTATTATTCTCGTTGGTGAGGCTTCCCGCGCTCTCCTGTAGCAACACTTTAATATCTTGTGGCAGAAATTTCAGGCTTCACCGATCCCTGACCAAATGTAGAGTAGGTGGCTACTGGTCCCAGGGCCGTGTGGACCTGTGTGTGTTGCACAGGTCCCTGCAACACTCACCTCTTGCTTCAAGGTTCAGAGTGATGTTCCATTGTTTTGTTGGTAGCGTGGTGAAAGTCAGTGCTCACTGAGTGGCCAGGCTCAGTGCTCACTGAGTGGCCATGCTCAGTGCTCACTGAGTGGCCATGCTCAGTGCTCGCTAAGTGGCCAGGCTCAGTGCTCACTGAGTGGCCAGGCTCAGTGCTCACTGAGTGGCCAGGCTCAGTGCTCACTGAGTGGCCAGACTCAGTGCTCAGTGAGTGGCCAGACAATATAGGTGGTGGAGGGGGTGTTTATGGCCTGAGTGAGACAGCTTGTTCAACACAAAATAAACCCCCGGCCTATGTAACCAGCGGTGATATACGCGCCAATTTTCATAAAAGTGCCTCATAGCGAGCCCGGGTAAACACTTGCGCTTGTCGGCACCGGTAAAGAAAGCAGCTCTCTTGATCAAAGTTTAGTCTAAAAGGAACACTTTTACACTACACTCAGGATTTTTGAGGCAAGATTTTGTAAATATGGAAAAGTTGGTGGTGATGCAGTCATTGTTGGGGAGGTGGGCCACTATCTTTATCTTGTCTCCATCACCCTTATCTCCCTCTTTTTATCTAAACAAGATAGGGACTCTGGGGGAAGGTGAATAGGGATTGAGCACTCACGGTCCTAACTGAACTCTGCCAAAAGTGCTGTTAAGCTCTCCTTACCCCCCCCCCCCCCTCTGACTCTGCGGACTCTATTGTTAGTCCTCTATTGTAAGGGTGGTGCTGCAGGACCTGGCTTGTATAAGGTCACTGGACTTGGCCTTAACAACGTCTACGTCTTGGAAGTAGAAGTAGAGAGAGGCCTCTCTCTCTCTCTCTCTCTCTCTCTCTCTCTCTCTCTCTCTCTCTCTCTCTCTCTCTCTCTCTCTCTCTCTCTCTCTCTCTCTCTCTCTCTCTCTCTCTCTCTCTCTCTCTCTCTCTCTCTCTCTCTCCCTCTCTCTCTCTCTCTCTCTCTCTCAGTGTTAGTGCCCTGGTGTGTGTGTGTGTGTGTGTGTGTGTGTGTGTGTGTGTGTGTGTGTGTGTGTGTGTGTGTGTGTGTGTGTGTAGGTGGTGTGAGTGTTTCTCCTGATTTGTATGTGTGTGAGTTTGCACTCTGCTGTTCAAGCAGGCTGTGATAAAAAGGTGTAATATGAACGGAGCCATTAACATAAAACACTGGAGCTTGTTATAAGCCGGTGATGTTGTTATTCCTGCTGAGTGGCCGGGGTTGGTGCTCGCTGAGTGGCCGGGGTTGGTGCTCGCTGAGTGGCCGGGGTTGGTGCTCGCTGAGTGGCCGGGGTTGGTGCTCGCTGAGTGACCGGGGTTGATGCTCCCTGAGTGGCCGGGGTTGGTGCTCGCTGAGTGGCCGGGGTTGGTGCTGGCTGAGTGGCCGGGGTTGGTGCTCCCTGAGTGGCCGGGGTTGGTGCTGGCTGAGTGGCCGGGGTTGGTGCTGGCTGAGTGGCCGGGGTTGGTGCTCGCTGAGTGGCCGGGGTTGGTGCTGGCTGAGTGGCCGGGGTTGGTGCTCCCTGAGTGGCCGGGGTTGGTGCTGGCTGAGTGGCCGGGGTTGATGCTCGCTGAGTGGCCGGGGTTGATGCTCCCTGAGTGGCCGGGGTTGATGCTCCCTGAGTGGCCGGGGTTGATGCTCCCTGAGTGGCCGGGGTTGGTGCTCGCTGAGTGGCCGGGGTTGGTGCTCGCTGAGTGGCCGGGGTTGGTGCTCGCTGAGTGGCCGGGGTTGATGCTCGCTGAGTGGCCGGGGTTGGTGCTCGCTGAGTGGCCGGGGTTGATGCTCCCTGAGTGGCCGGGGTTGGTGCTCGCTGAGTGGCCGGGGTTGGTGCTCCCTGAGTGACCGGGGTTGGTGCTCGCTGAGTGGCCGGGGTTGGTGCTCGCTGAGTGGCCGGGGTTGATGCTCGCTGAGTGGCCGGGGTTGGTGCTCGCTGAGTGGCCGGGGTTGATGCTCCCTGAGTGGCCGGGGTTGATGCTCCCTGAGTGGCCGGGGTTGGTGCTCGCTGAGTGGCCGGGGTTGGTGCTCCCTGAGTGACCGGGGTTGGTGCTCCCTGAGTGGCCGGGGCTGGTGCTCGCTGAGTGGCCGGGGTTGGTGCTCCCTGAGTGGCCGGGGTTGGTGCTCGCTGAGTGGCCGGGGTTGGTGCTTGCTGAGTGGCCGGGGTTGGTGCTCCCTGAGTGGCTAGCATCAGTGCTCGCTGAGTGGCGTGAGTGACCCACTTGCTAGTGAGCCACTCTGGAGTGAATGTCACTCAAGTCCACACAGGGAGGTAGAACCCGTTTGTACAACAATTACTGCCAGACTTATGGCGGTTATGGAACCATGTAAAGCTCTGAATAACTTTAGGCCTTATGCAAATGCTTGCGGACCAGCTTCGCTTGTCTCCTGCGGGTGTGTGAAGGAGTAAACCTGTGTAAACAACTGTAAACTACTTAGTGTTGGATGCAGACGGAATTAGGCAGTAGTTAGCACGGTTGTTTCACACTCAAATACGGTAAGTAATTTGCAGTTGTTTTAAAAAGCATAAGTTTTATTGGTAATATTGTCTCTAACCGCGGGTGTTGGTGTCCCCAGAGCCCCTGAGCGTGCACGTGTCCCCGCGGCGACTGGTGGTGGACATGGGGAAGACGGCAGAGTTCCGGTGTGTGGTGCAGGGACACCCAATCACCTCCGTCACCTGGCTCAGGAACGGCAAGTCTCTCCCCCCGGACGGCAGGTGAGGGCAGCGGGGAGGGTGGGGAGGACGGGGAGTCCAAGGCAGCCACAAGGTGGAGCACACACACATGTGTCAACGCACTCATAACAAACAATACCAGACACATGGCCCATGATGGACTTCACACACAGCAATGGACCTCTGCAACTTGTAGACACACACACACACACACACACACACACACACACACACACACACACACACACACACACACACACACACACACACTTGGATACAACACTCATTGACAGCCAGAAGGAATGGAAGGAGAGAATATTAAGGTATTACACTACAAAACATATCAGGACAACACAGGTGACCAGAGGTAGTTGTAGGAGAACAGAGGTAGAGGGAGGTCTGGGGTACAAGGTAACTAAGAGGAAGCACTCCGCTGTAATTGTCGTTTATCTATAACATTACAGAGCCCCGCCCCCTTTGCTCATGACGTCATACAATAACATCATCTTGTATCAATGACGTCACAAAGGCCCCGCCCCCTTGTTCATGACGTCATACAATAACAACATTTTGTATCAATGACGTCACCAAGGCCCCGCCCCCCTGCTCATGACGTCATGAAGGAAGCCCCTCCCCCTGGAGGTAATAACGTATATGGTGTCCAGGTTCGTGACGTCACCGCGGGAGGTGCTGACTGTGTCCAAGGTCGGGAAGGAGGACCGGGCCATGTACCAGTGTGTGGTGGCCGCCCGCCACTACAACGTCCAGGCCGCCGCCCACCTCGCCCTCGGAGGTCAGTTCTCACCCTTCTCTTTCACCTTGACTTACCTCACAGGGTCCTCACAGGGTCTTCACAGGGTCCTCATTATCATGAGAACCGCCCCCCCCCCTTCCCTCAGTCTTTCAAAAACTGACAGCATGTTCTGGGGCCAGTAATAGTCTACATGTGAACTGGTAAGTGAACCTTTGCCCTAAATGGATGTTTTTTCTAAAGTTATAACTTTATTGTATTATATATCGTTGGTTTAAATTATAATAAAATTATATGCAGAAATCGTTTTGTTTGAAGAATTTGGTTTCTTGCAAACAGAATTTTTGGGTACACTGAAATAGTTTTCGATTTTCATATTTTATTTTATTGTCAGTAATACACTGTATTAATGTAAGCAATTGTAATGAAACTTAACGTAACAAAACCTTAACCTAACCTAACCTAACCTAACCATGGATAGTGGGTAGATAATAGCACTAATTATGTTGTCGTTCTCAGACCATCCCCGTGAGTGTGTGTCCTCCCTGAGTGCAGGACCTCCACACACACACACACACACACACACACACACACACACACACACACACACACACACACACACACACACACACACACACACATGGTGGGGGAACAGCTTCCTCCACCAGCAGAACACTCACAAAGGGGGAGATTTGAGAAGCGACAGAAGAAAGTGAGCCTCAAAGCAATGTACACTAACATAGATGGAATTACAAATAAAGCAAATGAGCTTGGAGAATGGGTACTAGAGGGAAAACCCAGACATAATAGCTCTCACAGAAACAAAGCTAACGAAAACAATAACAAACGCAGTGTCCCCACAGGACTACTATGTTATGAGGAAAGAGAGAGAAGGAAGAGGTGGTGGTGGTGTAGCTCTGCTGGTAAGAAAAGGCTGGGATTTTGAGGAGTTGGTTGTTCAGGGATGTGAAGGTTTCAGTGACTACATAGCATTTACCATAACAAATGGAGGGGAAAAAATATAGTCGTAGTCATATATAATCCACCACCAAATGACAGAAGACCCAGACAGGAATATGATAGAAACAACATGGCCACCATTAACATAATAGAAAGAGCAGCTTCTGTTGGTAGCAGGAATGAATCTGGACTACTAATTATAGGAGACTTCAACCATGGGAAGATAGATTGGGAGAGCAGAGATCTGCATGGAGGACCAGAAACATGGAGAGCTAAGCTGCTGGACGTGGCAACAAGAAATTTTCTAAGCCAGCACATCAAGGAACCAACAAGAAAGAGAGGAGAGGATGAACCAGCAATGCTTGATTTGATATTTACCCTAAATGAGTGGGATATAAGGGAAGTCAAGATGGAAGCACCCTTGGGAATGAGTGACCACAGTGTATTGAACTTTGAGTACCTGGTAGAGCTAGGAATTATCTCCCCCCAAAAAGAACTAGGAATCAAAAGGCTGGCATACCGAAAGGGGAATTATGAACAGATGAGAAGTTTCCTAAGGGAAATACCTTGGGACACAGACCTCAGAGATAAGTCTGAACAAGGTATGATGGACTATGTTACCCAAAAGTGTCAGGAGGCAGTAAACAGATACATCCCGGCCCAAAGGGAAAAATCCGAGAAGCAAAAGAAGAATCCATGGTATAATAGGGCATGTATGGAAGCAAAGAAACTGAACAAAAGGGCGTGGAGGAACTTCCGGAATAACAGAACACCAGAAAGCAGAGAGAGATACCAGAGAACCAGGAATGAGTACGTCAGGATGAGAAGAGAAGCAGAGAAAAGTTTTGAAAATGATATAGCAAACAAAGCCAAAACCGAACCAAAGCTACTCCACAGTCACATCAGAAGGAAAACAACAGTGAAAGAACAGGTAGTGAAACTTAGACTAGGCGAGGACAGGTATACAGAGAATGACAAAGAGGTGTGTGAAGAACTCAACAAGAGGTTCCAGGTCTTCACAATAGAACAAGGTGAGGTCACTGTGCTAGGAGAAAGGGAGGTAAACCAAGCGGCCTTGGAAGAGTTCGAAATTACGAGAGAGGAGGTCAAGAGACACCTGCTGGATCTGGATGTTAGAAAGGCTGTTGGTCCAGACGGGATCTCGCCATGGGTACTGAAAGAGTGTGCAGAAGCACTTTGCTTGCCACTCTCCATAGTGTATAGTAAGTCACTGGAGACGGGAGACCTACCAGAAATATGGAAGACGGTGAATGTGGTCCCAATATACAAAAAGGGCGACAGACAAGAGGCACTGAACTACAGGCCAGTGTCCTTGACTTGTATACCATGCAAGGTGATGGAGAAGAGTGTGAGAAAAAACCTAGTAACACATCTGGAGAGAAGAGACTTCGTGACAACCCATCAACATGGGTTCAGGGAGGGTAAATCTTGCCTGACAGGCTTGATAGAATTCAACGATCAGGTGACAAAGATTAAGCAAGAAAGAGAGGGCTGGGCGGACTGCATTTTTTTGGACTGTCGGAAAGCCTTTGACACAGTACCCCATAAAAGGTTGATGCATAAGCTGGAGAAACAGGCAGAAGTAATTGGTAGGGCGCTCCAGTGGATAAGGGAGTACCTAAGCAATGGGAAGCAGAGTTACAGTGAGGGGTGAGACCTCAGAATGGCGTGAAGTCACCAGTGGAGTCCCACAGGGCTCTGTGCTTGGACCTATCCTGTTTCTGATATACGTAAATGATCTCCCAGAGGGTATAGACTCATTCCTCTCAATGTTTGCTGACGACGCCAAAATTATGAGAAGGATTAAGACAGAGGAGGACAGCTTGAGGCTTCAAGAAGACCTGGACAAGCTGCAGGAATGGTCGAACAAATGGCTGTTAGAGTTTAACCCAAGCAAATGTAATGTAATGAAGATAGGGGTAGGAAGCAGGAGACCAGATACAAGGTATCATTTGGGAGATGAAATATTTCAAGAGTCAGAGAGAGAGAAAGACCTGGGGGTTGATATCACGCCAGACCTGTCCCCTGAAGCTCATATCAAGAGGATAACATCAGCAGCATAAGCCAGGTTGGCTAACATAAGAACGGCCTTTAGAAACTTGTGTAAGGAATCTTTCAGAACATTATATACCAAAATCCTGGAGTATGCGGCTCCAGCATGGAGTCCATATCTAGTCAAGCATAAGACTAAACTGGAAAAGGTTCAAAGGTTTGCCACCAGACTAGTACCCGAGCTGAGAGGTATGAGCTACGAGGAGAGACTACGGGAATTAAATCTCACTTCGTTGGAAGACAGAAGAGTTAGGGGGGGACATGATCACCACATTCAAGATTCTCAAGGGAATCGACAGGGTAGATAAAGACAGGCTATTTAACACAAGGGGCACACGCACAAGGGGGCACAGGTGGAAACTGAGTGCCCAAATGAGCCACAGAGATATTAGAAAGAACTTTTTTAGTGTCAGAGTGGTTGACAAATGGAATGCATTAGGAAGCAATGTGGTGGAGGCTGACTCCATACACAGTTTCAAGTGTAGATATGATAGAGCCCAATAGGCTCAGGAATCTGTACACCTGTTGATTGACGGTTGAGAGGCAGGACCAAAGAGCCAGAGCTCAACCCCCGCAAGCACAACTAGGTGAGTGAGTACACAAGGTACACCACACAAGGTACACCACACAAGGTACACCCACACCTGGCTGTAAGTGTTGTATACACACAAGGACCGGTGAGTGCCGCCCCGGTGCTCTGAATTAATACAACACTACTGTGGAAAGTTTCCCGCCCAAGCTTAATTAGAAAAGTTATTCTGCGGAAACTCATGCGAGGTAATAACCCCAATGGAACGATAACGCTCTTTTGGGTTACTGTTGTGGGCCTTGTGGGACTGGTCCTGGCTCATCCCCTTGTTCTTAGACACTCACTTAGACACCAGGACCCACAGGCTGGTGATGAGAGCCATTTAGCTGAAGATGTGTGAGACATCGCGGAGATGACACACCTCAACACCTCGAGAGAATGTGTGTACCTCACACACCAAGACCTCGATGTTTCTATTAAAAATGCAACCGTTTGGGGGCCGCGCTGATCTGAGAGCACCCGAGCTGACTGGCAGTTGGGTGATGGGGGATTACCAGGAGCCTTTACAGATGGTATTGGAGCTCTTCAAGCCGTTACGGACGTTGAAGCCATTGAAGCCGTTGAGGTCGTTGATGACGATGAAGCCGTTGAAGCCATTAAGGCTGTTGAAGCTATTAAGGCTATTGAGGCCGTTGAAGCGGGATGTTTTCCTAACAAAATATATTTCTTCCATGTCAAAGAAACGTAGGAAAAGGGAGAAGTGACTTCGCAACTCTCTCCTCGCTCAGGGAACTTAAGAATAAGGTAAACTTCTGAAGGCCTATTGGCCCAGACGAGGCTGTTTATGTCTGCTTTGTAGATGTGTCTGGTGTCGTGAGGCCTAATATCTTTGAGTTGTAAACACGACCTCATGTGGAGGTATGTTGTTGTTTGTTATGTTTGGAGTTTGTTGGTTATATGTTATATTTATGGTTATGCTCTCGTTATATTGATCTTTGACCCTTACACCCTCTGCCCCTCACTAACCAGCACCCCCTCACTAACCAGCACCCCCTCACTAACCAGCCCCCCCCTCACTAACGACCCCCTGTGCCCCCAGACTCGTCACCGGAGCTGCACTACAGGTTCCAGGAGCAGACGCTACAGCCCGGGCCGTCCGTCAGTCTCAAGTGTGTGGCCACCGGCAACCCTCCGCCACAGTTCGTGTGGACCCTGGACGGCTTCCCCCTGCCTGAGAGTGAGAGGTGAGGCGCGGCTGGCAGGGTAGGGATGGTAGGCTGTGAGGGAGGCTGGCAGGGCAGGGATGGCAGGCTGGCAGGGAGGGATGGCAGGCTGTGAGGGAGGCTGGCAGGGCAGGGATGGCAGGCTGGCAGGGAGGGATGGCAGGCTGGCAGGGAGGGATGGCAGGCTGGCAGGGAGGGATGGCAGGCTGTGAGGGAGGGATGGCAGGCTGTGAGGGAGGCTGGCAGGGCAGGGATGGCAGGCTGGCAGGGTAGGGAGGGATGGCAGGCTGGCAGGGTAGGGAGGGATGGCAGGCTGGCAGGGAGGGATGGCAGGCTGGCAGGGAGGGATGGCAGGCTGGCAGGGTAGGGAGGGATGGCAGGCTGGCAGGGCAGGGATGGCAGGCTGGCAGGGTAGGGAGGGATGGCAGGCTGGCAGGGTAGGGAGGGATGGCAGGCTGGCAGGGTAGGGAGGGATGGCAGGCTGGCAGGGCAGGGATGGCAGGCTGGCAGGGTAGGGAGGGATGGCAGGCTGGCAGGGTAGGGAGGGATGGCAGGCTGGCAGGGTAGGGAGGGATGGCAGGCTGGCAGGGAGGGATGGCAGGCTGGCAGGGAGGGATGGCAGGGAGGCCAGGGGGACAAGAGCAGTAAAGAATATCCAGGTCTTAAAAGCATTTGGCTCTCTCCCCCCTCCTCCCCTCCCCCCCCCCCGCTGGCTGTATCGGGGAGGGAGGCTGCTCCTTTACTCCTCACTGATTACATAGGATTACACAGCATTACACAGGATTATATAGGATTCACAGGTAACAGGAAGTAGTAGGGAGTAAGAGCCACAGGTACCTTTTTTTTTTGGCGAGAGGACCCCTGTGGACTGTAAGAGCCACAGGTACCTTTTTTTTTTTGGGGAGAGGACCCCTGTGGACTGTAAGAGCCACAGGTACCTTTTTTTGTTTTCTGGGAAATTCGTGTCTGGGAGTGAGGGTTTTCAGGTAAATTTTTGTCAGTCACAGATTTTAGAAGTAAGGATTTCTTATGATGAAAATAATTTCCGAGACATAGAAGTTTGTTAAGGCCTTATGGGAGAAATTCAAGTAATGTATGTAGCTCTTTAGGGCTTCCAGGAGAACTCTACGGACATATTTTACATGTTTTCAACTTAGAAAAATCGTCTATGTAAGCCTTAGTTATTCATATAAATTTAGAAAATCACCTGTGTAAGTCATGGTTTTCAAGTCTCGTACCTCACACCCCCCTCCCTCCCCCCTTACCTCGCAATCTGTCGCATCACCTTTATTTACTTTACGCCCGGCCAGCCAGACCTCTTATCTTATCTTCTCCATAATAATATCTGGACCGTCCCTCTCTCTCTCCTCCTATTTCCTTACAACTATTTTCAGAGTTTCAAATAATCATAGAAGTTTATTTATATGTTTATGACCGAATTTGTAAAAGGACCATTTTCAGAGAATATTGTCTTAGATGTTTTGTTAAGGAAAACAGGCAACTTATCCATAACATTTAGTTTTATATCCATTTACGGCTATTTCATCTGTAAAGACCAAAATTGAACAGAGCCCAGTTTTAAGCTCATATTTCATCAGAGTCCAGTTTATACCGAAAATTCGCCAGAGTCTACTTTGAGAGCAAAATTAGTCAGAGACAGTTTTAGCTCATATTTCATCAGAGTCCTGTAATCTGCGAAAATTTGACAGAGTCCATTTTATACCCAATTTTCGTCAGAGTCTACTTTGTGAGCAAAATTAGTCAGAGACAGTATTTAGCTCATATTTCATCAGAGTCCAATTATCAACAGAAATTCGCCAGAGTCTACTTTGAGATCAAAATTCGTCAGAGACAGTTTTAAGCTCATATTTCATCAGAGTCCAATTTATACCTAAAAATGAACAGAGTCTACTTTGAGAGCAAAATTCGTCAGAGACAGTTTTAAGCTCATATTTCATCAGAGTCCAATTATCAACAGAAATTCGCCAGAGTCCAGTTTTCTAGCAAATTTCATCAGTGTCCTGTAATCTGTGAAAATGTGACAGAGTCCAGTTCTTGATCGAAATTCATCAGAGTCCAGTTTTCTAGCAAAATTCGCCAGAGTCTACTTTGTGCCAAAATATTCAGAGTCCAGTTCATGATCAAAATTAATCAGAGTCTAATTAAAGACACAAATTTGGCAGAGACCACATTTTCGCTACTAGCAGTCCAATCCCCCTGAAATTTTAAACAGTCATATTTCAGACGTAGTAAATAAGATCAAGTCAGTTACAGAGCTCCAGCTCTTGTCCCCCTGTATTTGCATATTTTCTCTATATTCAGCTGTGTTCTTCACTTTTTGTCCGTGTTTTCTGTGTTCATTCCATGTTCTATAAATGTTCACAGCAAGCTTAGTTCAAATTTTTTCTGCCATTTTTCCCCGTATGTTCACTATGTTCTTTGTCATATTTTCATGTGCATCATATGTTCTCTGTATAACTTTTTATACTCAATATTCATGTTCTCAATGTTCATTCCATGTTCTACAAATGTTCACAGTCCCATTCAGTTCATATTTTCACAAGTATCTCCATTTTTCTATAATCTTTCTCTTAGTCTCATTACTTTCTCTACAAATTCTAGTCATATTTTCTATGTTTTCATGTTCATCACATGTTCTCTTTACAACTTTTATACTCAATATTCATGCTAACTTCCATATGTTGTGTTCTTTGTCAATATTCATGTTCCTCTACAAGTTCATATTCCCAGCATGTTCACTGTATTCATCAACTTTTCTTACATGTGTTCTTTGCCATGTTCCCCCATATGTTCTCTGGGTTTTCCCCTTACATGTTATTTAACGTTCCTTAACTAAAAAAATCTTTCGCCAATCAACTAAAACATAGTCACTTTCGTCATTTCTCAACTAAACCTATTATCCAGTCAACTAAAAATAGTCAGAAATAGCCTCGTTCAACACTGTTCTTAACTAAAACAACCTTTCTCTTAGCTAAAAATTGTCAAAGGAAACTTTTTCAGCACTTTCTTAACAGGCGCTATGTTTCATCAAGAAAAATTGTCAAAGGAAACTTTCCAAAACTGTTCATAACTAGCTTTTATCCATCGTCAATCAACTAAAAATAATAACTTTCATCATTTCTTAACTAAACATATTCCCCATTCATCAGAAAATAACCGTGTTCATCATGTTTCATTGTCATTTCTTAACTAAAATTATCTGCCAATCATCAGAAAAAGTCATGTTCATCATGTTTAAGCTTTTGCTCAACTAAAAGTATTCATCGATCAACTAAAAATAGTTACTTCATCATGTTTCCTTGTCATTTCTTAACTGAAATATCACTTCTCTCATCTGAAAATAGTCAGGATTAACCTCATTCAACACCGTTCTTAACTAAAACAGCCTTTCGCTAAGCTAAAAATTGTCAAAGGAATCTTTTCAGCACTGTTCATAACTAACTTTATCCAATCGTCAAGTAAGAAAATATAGTCAAAGATATCTATCATCGTCGTTCTTAACTGACATTTATACTTTGTGGAGCACTAAAATAGTCAAATGTAACTTTTTCAACACTTTCGTAACTAAAATTATATGTCGCTAAGTAAGAAAAATAGTCAAAGGTGCTCTCCGTTACACCAAAGTTACTCTTCGAGAAATCAAAGACACTCTTCAATACATCAAGGACTTACTCAAAGACACCAAAGTTACACTCTAAGACATCCTTCGAGACATCAAAGACTTCAATGGGACTCTTCCATTCATCAAAGACATTCTCTAAGCCCTCAAAGTTATTCTCAGCACAATCAAAAGTTATTCCAAGACAACAAAAGTTATTCCAAGACAACAAAAGTTATTCTCAGAACAATCAAAAGTTATTCCAAGACAACAAAAGTCATTCTCAGAGCTATCAAAATTATTCTCGGAGTCATCAAAAGGTATTCTCTAACTCACTTTGGTCATTAAAGTTAATTTCTATGTTATAAAAGTTTGTCTCAGAGACATCTAAAGTTAATCTTAGAGTTATCAAATGTAATCTCTAACTCTCTTTTGTTCATCAAAGTTGATCTCAGAGTTAACAAAGGTAATCTCTAACTCACTCTCGTTCATCAAAGTTGTTTCAAAGACATCAAAGTTATTCAAAGAGCTAACAAAAGTTATTCTCAGAGTCACCTTCGTTCTTCAGAGAAACTTTCCAAAACATCTTTATTCATCAAAGTTATTCTCAGAGGCATAAAAGTCATTCTCAGAGCTATCAAACTTGTTCTCAAAGTCATCAAACTTATTCACAGAGTCATCAAAGTTAATCTAAGACATCATTTTTCATCAAAGATATTCTCTCTAAACCATCAATGTTCTTCTCTAAGACATAAAAGTTATTCTCAGAGTCACCTTCGTTCGTCAGAGAAACTTTCAAAACATCTTTGTTCATCAAACTTGTTTTCAAAGTCATCAAAAGTTAATCTAAGACATCTTCTTTCATCAAAGTTATTTCAGAGACATCTAAAGTTATTCTCAGAGCTATCAAACTTGTTCTCAGAGTCATCAAATGTTATTCTCGAAGTCATCAAAGTTATTTTCAGAGACATCTAAAGTTAATCTTGGTCATCAAAGTTGTTCTCTAAACATCAATGTTGTTCTCCAAGACATCAAAGATGTTCTCAAAATCATAAAAGTTATTCCCAGAGCTATCAAAGTTAATCTCAGAGTTATCCAAAGATATTCTCATGTCCACAAAAGTTATTCCAAGAGACGTCAAAGTTGTTTCAAAGACATCAAAGTTAATCTCAGAGTTATCCAAAGACATTCTCAGAGACATCTAAAGTTATTCTCTAAGACATCAAAGTTGTTCTAAGAGTTATCAAAAGTTATTCTCAGTCATGATATGTTATTCTCTAACTCACTTCCATTCATCAAAGACATTCTCTAAGTCCTGAAAGTTATTCTCTAAGACAACAAAGTCTTTCTCAGAGCTACCAAAGATGTTCTCTAAATCATAAAAGTTAATCTTAACTCACCT